ATCCAATCATGCGTTGGGAGTTTTCACTAACAAGACGAACCAAAAGTTGATTATCCTCATGCTCTGATAACGCAATCAGTAAGCCAAAGCCTTGTATGGCTCCAGGAATGTGAATGGGTTCATCCTCGCATTTCTGCAGAACCTCTCCATCACGACCGGTAATAATGGCATGTCCTTCTGCAGTCACGATGTGCTTAAATCTGGCCGTTACTAACCCTCCAAGTCCACCGTCATCGGATACAGACATATTCCCAGATATATTTCCAACCGATGATTGTTTTGCGCTGGAATCGCGCGTGTCAACAGATCTATCAGATGTATTGTCGAGGAACTGTTGCAAGCGACTGCCTCGGAACTCACTACGAGTTGTAGAGGTAGACGACTTGCGATCTGCTCTCCTGGGGTCAGCATTCGACTCCGTCTGGCCTCTTGGGCGAGGAGTTATCTTTCCATCTGAATATTTCGAACCCCTCCCACCTCCGTCTTTGCTTGCTACACTTGGGGGGCGTGGGAAATAGTCATTCATTTCACCCGAGGCCGAATTCCTAGCTGAAAATGAGGATGGGGTCTGGGTGGGATCGACACTGACGACACTTCTAATTGGAAAGACCCGATCGATGGTAGTAGATGATGGGCTACCAAGCTGCTTGTCCGAACTGGCGCTCCAAGAAGATGTTGCTTGGGCAGATGAAGCAGTATAGCCCTTGGGGATATCAGTTGGCCATAATCGTGGTTTTGTGGTTGGAGAAGCAGGAACAGGTGTAGAGCCACCTGTTGAAGTTCGCGTCCGAGATGAAGACCGAGAAGCCACTTCCATTGATTTGACTTCGTTATCCTTTGGTAATTGGGCAATTTCTTCAGGATCCGGCAGCATTGCAAGGGGCTCGTTGACCTTTATAGGTCCGCCTGTTGGGGTGACCAATTCGTATCTGCAATCCCCGTGTGATCTAATTCTGTTGATTGTATTAAAAGAAAGTGTTTGTTCGTAGCCAGCCTGTTACACCTTCATGTATTTATCTCCCTTCAGTTCGTAAATGCATCGAAATATGTTCGCACAATCGTTCGTAAGGTAGACTTTTCCTAAACCATAAGGAATGGTTGCTGTCGAATCCTTTCCCGTTCCAATAGCCCTAAGTAAAATTTCCAGGCGCAGTGAATGAGAGTAGTGAAATGAAATGGCCTTGTCGAAGTTAAACAATCAAACGATCATGCATGTATTTTTGTGTTCGATAAAGCAATGATCTTGGTAGCGATAGAGAGTGACGGGAAGAAAGATCGAGGGGTTTGCACTGATAATTTGATACGCTCGGGAAAGGAAGAGGGTATCCTGAAGTTGATTTGTTTCGCTGGGTGTGTATGGGTACAGTTGTCACTCTTTCCGCATGTCAAGGTCCAAAGGTCTGTGATGGGGTCGAATTGTAGAAGTTGTGAAGGTTCGGAATATTCGAATATTCGCGTAGGAACTGATCTGCAATACAGAGGTCAGTGGCTCGAGTGGCTCGAGAGTGGTTCAGTTGATGGATTGAGTGTGGTTGGCGAGACCGGAAGTGGCGAATGGAATGGGATCAACGAGGTAGGTATCCATGATTGAATGGATGTATGTGGGTTTTTTGGAGATTTTGGGATATTAGATAAGATCGCATTTACTTAATTTTTTTATGGGATTTTGAGACGGACTAAAACAAAACAACAAAAACGGGGCATGTTGATTGGTCGAGATTGGTATGACTTATATAATATGATAAACTCTAATCTCCACCATAAAATCTCAAAAGTTCCTTCCCCCAAGTTCTCCAATGAGGGAGGGACTTTGGTACGTGCTACCGACCTAGCATCGACCTAGGTACGTACTCCATAGGTATTGACACCAGTGCACCATCGAGACCATCTGGGTTGATGGGACTCTAATGGAGATATACAGCCCACTTTTGTACAGGAGCAGGTAATAATGCACATCGTATACCGAGTGTACTATGTGTTGTTAGTTGCATGTATGAGGTACCTGGATATTATGCATTCGTCTACTCGGCTGCCATCGGAAATCTATCCATCTACAGCTACTCATCCAAAAAGAAAGACTCAGAACTCCATAACTTACCTCCTTATTACTTCGTAGTCAGTAGTGGTATTGTCATAGACGGAGAAACAAAACACCTCTCACATGTTATTACTCACCACGAGAGAAGCCACAGAAGAAATTATTGTGGAGTATGGCCCAACCCTTCCGGATCCCAGGTTTCAAGTGGCTAGAATCATAGATGTCGATGAGGGGATCATCGTAGTCAAAAACTCTTAATGCATTCCCAATACTATGTACGATCTACAAAGATTAGCAATCCCCCTACCCTCCGTGCTCCATAGACAGGACGATTTATAGAAACTAGGAGTAGTTTCCGTTAGCTGATGCAATTCTTCATTCCCGTGTCTGAAAGAAAAGAAGAACAAGAGGAAAAAACCAGTCAGAGCAAAGTTGTGGTCCTACGATTTCGTATAGGGGCTCTTGAATTCTATTATACTTTTCGATATTTGAAATCTGATCAACTATCAGATTCTCGTATCGGAGATAGATATCTTTCGAGTAAATCATTACTCAAATCTGCAGATGTGATGGGTACCTAAGATGGGAATATAAATAAATCTGTTTTGAAGATCCTATGACCACCCCGCTTCTACATTGTTTGCTTTTCTGCAGCCTACTCCGTACAGAAGCCCTTCTGTCGATCAAAAAAAAGCAATCGTAGAAAAGTGTTTTATATATCGTAAGCTCAAGTGAAACAAACACTGGGCTACTCATCAGCCACTTACTCATCCTACCTCAAGCCACTCTATCAAGTTTCATCGAATCTTCTACCGGTATAACCTCTATCGACGAGCCGTGATGATATCACATACCGTCTCAATGATGTACGAAGGGTCATGCATAAGTCGTGATGAGTAGATTCATTTATTTCTTACAGTTTGCGTATCACAACCACGAGAAGTTTTCAGGGTCTTCTTGAGATACCGAGGGATAGGTTCAGGAGACCCCAAAAAAAGCAAAATACCGTCGCTATATTTAAGTTTTCCGGGGCAAAAAAGCATATAACCAAGTCCCCATAGGTATGGAGGCGTCCACTTCGCTTACCCCCTTCATATTTGATGATCGAGCAGTACTCGTACCTAGGTATGTGTTGTTATCTCTTTCTCAATTAAAATATTGCTATTTCCATCAAGAGCCCTCTAGGAAAATACATTCTGGTTCATACCGTTGCGGTACATCTACTCGTCTGTTCTTTACTCGCCTTTGGCTTTGATTGACTTTTAAGGGTATAAATCACCACTTTCTGGATTACTCCGCTACGCTACCACACACTACGTTCACTCCAAGGCACTAAACAATGCTATACCTAGGTATCCTTCGATCACTAATCCATCAACTTTGCTTATAATCAAAGCATCCATCTTAATTGAGACGACTCCCTACTAGGTAGACATTGTGCGGAATAGTTGGTGTGTTCGGCACGCTTAGATTCTTTCCGCTTATCATAGTGTGCTGTGGGTAGTATGAATATTCCATTCTCTTCAACAGAAACCATTTTCCCTTTCCATACGGATATTCACACTGTAACAGACCTCAAACATGACTCGCCTTCGAGGACCTCGAGGATCAATATGTATATATCTTCATCAAACTACATACTTCAGGAACATTACCTCCGTACAATTGTGAGAGAAAAAACTTTGATTATCGCTTCTGAGTCATCTCTAACACCGTGCTGTTCAAAGCACCCCTTCATCCCCCCATTCGATAGCGAAAAGACGACAATTATGATACCAAGAGTTTTATCTACGTCTCCATACACAATTATCTAACCAATTCGTTACCTTTCTACCCAAAGGTTTCGATGACGATCATATATTCTCTTCTACATCTCATATTCTCACTTAGGGCTTTCGCCACCAGAATCAGAGTTTTGCAGCATCATCGCAAACACGCTCAAGACAATATGCAAGCAATCTGATGCAGAGAGGCATGAGCATTGAGTATCCATCTACCATTCCCGCAAAGGCCAAGTACACCATTGCACATGCAAGCCTCACTGAACTAGTATATCTAGTAAGTGCACATGAGTAATAATTTCTATGCGGAAGATATTGCCGTGATTTTGACAAGGCTCACTTGTAGGTTATTTAGAAGTGGATACGAAAACGAAATTTTGGTTATTTCGAACTATAACATGATTACTCAGGTAACTACTAGAATATTTATATTTATATAGCTAACAAAATAGTTTTTGTCACTGCTTACTAGCATTTCTTATTCTCGTTCTCGTTCTCGTCTTTTTTCCCTTCCACTCTACACTATATATATGCTATGACCCCTTCATCATCTTCTCAGAAGTCTTCGAAATTGGAGCGGACACATGTTGTCCGTTTTGGCCGACTCATCGTAATCTCTCAGGTCTAGAACCGGTCCATTTCTTTAAAATCCATGCCTTAACGATATCATATGGAAATTTTTCATACACTTTGAACTCCAGTCTAGAGTTCAGCGTAGCAATTTATCGTCTACCTCAGAGACTCATTCACTACTTTATATAGTGATTCACAGATATCAGCCAACACTTCTAATTCTTCAAACTTTCATCGCTATGCTTCAGTATTTCGTGCTGTGTATTTCTATCTAGTCGTCTTCGCAATGCGAAAGGATGTAAAAAACATTATTGCCACTGCGCATATTCAGTCATCCAATATGGACTTCACATTTAAGATCTCCACGCGTGCAAAGTTGTCTATCTCAAGTAGGCTAATTTTACATGTCTTTCTTTCATCAAACTCTTGACGCGATGGTCATCTTATATCCTCATTTGACACGGTTCATGGCTATTCAGCGGAAACATTGTTTCTACTTGCATCTTCGCCTGTACCTCTTGTATCAAAACACATACATCATATTGACCAACAATCCAACATATATTTCACACAAGCGGTCTCAATCCTATCTTTTCTTTCTATCAAAAATGAACAAGTGGACTAACCGAACTCCCAAGCAAACAAGTCACTTGAGTGATCCTCCCCTCTCCCTCTTCCGCCAAATTGGGACCAAAACAAATAATCCCCAGTATCCTCTTGCTCTTTCTAAACTTCAAACCTCATTACTCCCCGAACGAAAATCAAGCTTTACTCCTTCAGTACAGAAAGAAAAATCGGTTGCTCAAGAATCTTAGAGATACCTCGCCTCGACTGAGTTTTCTTACTAAATGGACACGATGCGATATCCTCGATTGCGCTGTCATAAAACTCCATCACGGGTATTGGTATACTCTACCTTCTAATCTCGTCTATTTTTCGATTCGTTGATTAGAGGTATTAGTATCGATATCCACAGATAGGAAGAAAAGGGAGAAAAAAAGAGGAAAAGAGAAGGGACGGAATGGAATGGAATGGGAAATACAACATCATTTCTAAAATCTCAAACGAATTCTGAATAGGATTTAGATATGAATTCTTATTCAAAATCAAAATTGCAGAACGGAGGAGATGGAGAATAAAACCTTTGTGCAGAAACTGGAATGTCAAATGTTCTTTCTGGAATTTTCATACGTGCGTGGAGTGAAGTCTTGTATGGAATTTCTTTTATTTTCATTTTTGTAAGATATATCGTGATCTCAATACCAAACACAATATTATGTACACATCACATCACATCACATAGTACATACCTAGTTCATATATCAGCAATATCCCAGATCATCACGCAAACCGAATCTCAATCAAGAAATCAATAAGATAAGGAACCTATAAATATCACTCAGCCTCCCTCTCTCTTTGCTCTTCCCTCTAACCGCATATTCAGATGTGTCTCACAGCTAATTCATTATCAATCTCATCCCAATGTCGATTCCACCCTCACCACCACGTATTAATCCATACTTGCGAAGCCGAATTCGGATTCGAACTTGACTAAGACTCATCCTCATCTCCCGCGCGATCAATAGCAAATTTCTTGTTTTCTTCATTTTTCGCATCGATGAAGGTGGTGATGTGTTGTGGGACCTGATTTGAGAGGGCTTGTTAGCTTTATGTTCTCCTTCTTCTCGTTTGTTTGTTTGTTTATTTGTTCCTCGACTCCTTTCCCTCTGTGACTTCGATTTTTCGCTTCTCTATCTCTCGTCCGTATTATCCGTCTAATGTTTTATTGACTAATTCTCTGTCTTTTCTTACCATCTCCCCCTTTCTTGTCCCTTTGCCCCTTCCAATAAGAAACCTTATAAAAGTGTGACAAAAAAACAACATAGAAAATGACATCTCCTACCTCACGAATCTCACAATCCTCACCCCGAATCGGTGTCCCATACACAGTGTGCACAGGTACCACACCGGTCCACACTCGATTTTTCAATTCTGCATCTTTGAGATCGTGGCGGTCGTCATGGGGTGGACCGCGACGGATTTTGGCGGAGGCGGTGTGGGGGGTTATGCGGAGGATCTGGGGGTTGGGTTGTTAGGAGTTTTTTTGGGGAGTAGAGGGGAAAGAGAGGGAGGAGCAAGGGAAGGGAAAGGAAGAGAAGTAAACGAACTTGGGTCGTAGTCATTTCTGTTTTCGTAGGAGGAACACGAGTGTTTTCCCATCGATCGGTGAGAACGGTGTTGGTTATTTTTTCCATTGCCCACTAGATAATTGGAGATGTGTTAGAGTTGTGGATGAGAATGGGAGAGTAGAGAGTTAGATTGATTAGGAGGAGAGGGAGAGTTTAGCGAGATCTGTGGGGTGATGCGATGGGTGGATGAAAAGACATATGAATAAACGAGGGAATAAGAGATGTGAAGGAAAGGGGAAGGCCATACCAATTTCTCATCGACGTCTTCGACAACTTGACCATATCCTTGTAGGATTGCACTGCGGTAATTGTAACCTGCGGGTTTATTAGTCTTTTTTTCTTTTAACCTCTTTTCAACTTCCTTTTCTCGTTCTCTCCCCGTTCTATTTCTCTCTCTTCACTTCTTCCTCTAAAAAACATATTCCCCATCCCCTACACATCTCCACAAGCCCTCTTCATCATCTTCTCCCAGACAATCACAACTTCCTCTCATCTACCCCAAAGAAATACAAAACTCACTATGATTATTCGGCGTAAGCGCCAAAACCAACCCATCCAAACAACTCGCCGCAACCGTCATCGGCAATCCTTCTTCCCCCTCGCTTCCCTCTCCTTCCTCCGAAGCCTTCTTCCCCATCCTCATCAACCGACTACTCACATAACCATGCAAATACAAATTCGCACCTTCGTTAATATTTTCCTCCGTGGGATTTTGCGGATCGTAGAGCCCCATGAATCCTAACATAGGGAGAATGGCGGGGAAGGGATCTTCAGGGGAGGGGGTGTGGACTTTGTGAAGGAGTGGTTAGTGAGGCGTGGAGTAATAGGGGGTTTGGAGAGTGTATGGATTTGATAGGATGGAGAAAGGAGGAAAATAGCAGGAAAATAGAAGGAAAATACGAGTATCCTCCCCTCAAAATCAGAACCAACAAAAAGTCAAGACACAAGAATAACCCCCAAAAACAGAAATCGCATCAGCAATCCCAATCAAAAAGAAAACACATTCCAACCCAAACTCAAACTCACAAGAAACATGTAAAATCGGCGAACTATTAATAATAGTATGAATAGTACGATGATCATATTTTGCTATTGCGAGCACATTAGCGAGATCCCTAGTACACACATCCCTAGTAAATACGCATGATATGGCGACATAAGATAACGAAATAGGGAGTATGAATGAATGAATGAAAAACAAGCAAACAAATTCAAAATCCTCGATTCGCTAGGAAACAAAGAATCGAAGAGGGAACATTAACCCCCCAACGATCCCAAGCCATATCCCAAATCAACAACCCAGAAATCTCAACGACGCAAACCCCAAAATTCAAGACACTAGCAAAAAGGAAAAAGGAAAAAATGAAAAATAACGAGAAATAATATACCCCGCGGTCTATATCTCTGCACCGTATTCCTCGGCGTCTTTGGATACATGGTTATTTCTCCTTCTGCTTCTGCATTTGCCATATCTTCTTCGTCTGCGGTTGATATGAGATTTTTGAAATCTGGAGATGAAAGTAAATTTAAATGAGAATACGGATTTGGATTTCTTGATGTTTGTTTGTTCGTCTTCGGGATTTTAGAGTTTCAGATCTCGATTTTGTAGATATTATCGATTTTCTCTTCTTTCGAATTGTGTGTGAAGGGAAATGTAAATATAAATGTTGAAAGTAGATGTTAAAAGTAAAAGGAACAATCAACTTCTCCCAAATCCTACAGATCACTCAAATCTCAAATCTCAAATCTCAATTCCAATTCCAATTCCAAAATCATATCTCTATATACCCCTTCCCTTCCCTTCTCTCCCCCCATCTCCCCTTCTCCTCCAATCCAATCCCTTTCCCAATCCACCCAATCCACCCAATCCTCTGACTCAACCCCCTCCCCCTCCCCATCCCCATCCCATCCCATCCCATCCCCATCCACAAACACATAAGCACAAATCACGTGTGCGGGGAGCTAATTACCCCATCCAGCAAGTCCACGCGAGACGCGGCAAGAGTTTGCGATTACTCACGCGATACTGAATTTCCAAATTTCCAATAAGATGCTCCTGATTACAGATGTATGTCACTCGCTACCTAGGTACCTAGGTAAGGTCCGTATCTTTACGTATAAGGACATCAATTATGCAGTAAGACGATACGTACGGCGATACCGATATGGTGATCTTAAATATAGAGGCAATGCGGTCGTGAGTTTATTGATCGCAAGGTATTTCCTTTGTTATGTGTATATGTAGATACATAGTCTATGCATGCGTACGCGAATTTAAATGTGATATTTTGTTATAGGTAGCAGAAAGATCTCGTGTCTAGCTAGCTAGCTCGGCTCTGCGAATCTAAGTTGAGCCTTACAATATCAATTGCATACGAGATTGTATCGAAGCAAAGCCAAGCCAAGCAAACTCGAGATTCTCATAGTATCATAACATACATACTTAGGTATCAGCACGGGGAAAAAAGTGTAATATTGGGTATCAAACCATATGAGATCCAGACTCCCGACAACCCCATTCCATTCTATCCCAACCCATCCACCCATATCATTTCATATAATAACGAATCAAATCCCACACAAACGAATTCAAAGAATCGTTTTACATTACACCGTCATTAGCTTCCTTTCCATTTTTCCCTTACCCCCAAACTTTCCTCTACGATTCCATGTCCCAATCCCAAACATAAAATGTCCAGAAATGTTCCTCCCCATCAAACTCCCCTTCATCATGCGCAGAATCTAGACTTGCCTGCAATTCCCTTGCAAAGCCCCAGATTTCATCTAGAGTATACCTACCACCATGTAAATCTTTCTGTAGACGACCCCAAAATTCTTCATCTTTTAAGCCTTGCTCTTCCTCGTATCTATACTTCTCTTTGAAATGATCATAAAATCTCTGTTTTTCATCATCGGGAATATCGCCAAATTTGGCTTCTCTTCGAGATTGAGCAGAGACGGGATTTCTATAAAAATATTTAGAACAGTAGAATGGAGTACGAAGGAATCTTAAATTACCTGTTGGCACCTCGGGGAGTATCGTAGTTGTCCGAGAATGGATCATTCCGGTCATCGTTATTGCTTTGACTTCTATGTGACGACGCAGCGGAACGTTCTCGTTCTACTTGTGGTATTTGTTGCACCGGCCTTCTCGATCTCTTCTTATTTTCTGCTTCCAGCTCTAGTCTGATTCTTTCAGCTTGTGGGAGTTTTCGGTACGCAATTTTCTCCATTTCAAGTTCGATCAGACTAGCTTTCTTTGGGCTGGCCATTATGGTTTTCTGTTGGGATGAGTTGAATTCTCTTATCTTTCGCTCTTGCTCCAGTCTCTCAGTTTCCAACCTGGCCTCTTCCTCTTCCCGTGCACGTCTAATTTCCTGGGTCAATGCAAGATGTTTCTCAATTTCCTCCTCTCTACGGAGCTCAGCAATCTTCATTTGACATCTTCGCTGCAACACATCTCGCAAATGAGTGCGAAGTTCCTTCAATGGTTGCCTCGTCTGGCCGCAGTTCGTAGGCTGTAAATCCTTCTCCTGGTTTTCGAGATAAGAGAAAAGATTGAGGATTAAACTGGTGATCCGATTCACAGTTAATAAAGCCTCGATTGACAACACCTGAAGGTTTCC